TATTCTATTCTATTCTATTCTATTCTATTCTATTCTATTCTATTCATACAATACATAAAAGAACACTTGCAGGAATTGGGTATATCTAGTTTAATGAAAAGAAGGACTAGGGGAGACATGATAGCAGTGTTCCAATATCTCAGGGGCTGCCACAAAGAAGAGGGAGTCAAGCTATTCTCCAAAGCACCTGAGGGCAGGACAAGAAGCAATGGGTGGAACCTAATCAAGGAGAGAAGCAACCTAGAACTAAGGAGAAATTTCCTGACAGTCAGAACAATTAAGTGGAACAACTTGCCTCCAGAAGCTGTGAATGCTCCAACACTGGAGGTTTTTAAGAAGATGTTGGATAACTATTTGTCTGAAGTGGTGTAGGGTTTCCTGCCTAAGCAGGGGATTGGACTAGAAGACCTCCAAGGTCCCTTCCAACTCTGTTATTCTATCCTATTCTATATGCTATATAGCAGTGATGGCTAACCTTTTTGCCGTCGCGTGCCCAAAGTGGGGGGAGCGGGGGGGGGTTGCGCGCGCGCATGCCCACACCCATAATTCAATGTGCCCTGTGCGCACAATACCCCCGCGCTCCACCTGCTTTTGGCACACGATGGCCCAGTAGGCCGTTTTGTCGTCTTCCCCAGGCTCCAGAGCCTTTCTAGGAGCCTGGGGAGGGCGACAACGGCCTTCCCCACCCCCTGGAGGCCCCCCGGAGGCCGGAAACAGCCTGTTTCCCAACTTCCGGTGGGACCAGAAGGCCCGAAAATCAGCTGGCCTGCGCGCTGGAGATGAGCTAACGCAACGCTCTCATGCCCACCGATATGGCTCCACATGCCACCTGTGGCACATGTGCCATATGTTGTCCATCACGGCTATATAGTATATACATATACATACACATACATACATGTATATATACGTACATATGTATATAGAAGAGGCGATAGACATTACGATCTCCGGAACGTTTAAAAGTTTAAAATTTTTTATTTTAAAACTTGTGCTAAAAACTTGTGTTTAAAAAATTTTAAACTTTTAAACGTTCCGGAGATCGTGATGTCTATCGCCTCTTCTGTAACTATACCTGGAACTCGCATCTTTAGGACATATGTATATATATATATACATACATATTTATATGTGTGTGTGTATAAATACCTTTGTATCTATAAACACGTCTATACATTTAAATGGTGATGGTAGAAAATATTGGCTGAGGAGGAGGAGATGCTGCCTAGGGAATGAACAGATAAAGGAGCATGGAGCCCACAGCTGAATAACAGCTGGCAGAGAAAGAAACTCTGAAAACAAACTCCTTTGTCAGGTTTCAATGTCATCTCAAATAAATTGCACTCCCAAACAATTAATCTTTGCTGAAATATTCCATTTATTGAGTACGACAGATCTGGCCCCGACTTCGTCGTAGCTGATACTAACCCTCTGACCCCCAAACCCTTCCCTTTCCATTCCCCAATTCTCTACTTCTCATTAGCCATCTTCCAAGTCAGCCTCCCCAGCTTCTGACCTCAGCCCACAGGAATGTCCCCCTCCCATCCCATCTCCTAGGGGATATTATCTACAGAGAAAATAAGTGAAAAGTCAAGCCTCATCTCCTCCTTTTTATGGCAGCATCAGAATGCTGACATCCTTTAGTTTACCAGCTGTTTAAAAAAAATGCCAAGAGTTTTGTACTTTCCGTACGTGCAGGATTCTGTTAATTAATTAATTAATTAATTTATGTACTTTATATGCCACTCTTCTCCTGAAGGACTCAGGGCGGCTTACGAAAGGAACATAAAAAAATTACATAAACATTAAAATCAGTTTAAAATTGATTAAAATAAATTCAAATTCAAATTTTTAAAATCAACCCTATGGATTCAGCCCATTTGGTGACAAAGCCACGTCTTCAATTCGCGGCGGAAGGAAAGGAGGTCAGAGGCTGTCCTGAGGCCGGTGGGCAGCCCATTCCAGAGGGTCAGCGCTCCCACAGAGAACGCTCTCCCCCTGGGGGCCGCCAGCCGACATTGTCTGGCTGACGGCACCCTGAGGAGGCCCGCTCTGTGTGAGCGCACCGGACGATGGGAGGATGGCAGGAGATGATCCTGCAGGTACCCCGGGCCTAAGCCATGTAAGTAATGTAGCCTTTGTCAGCACTAGAGTAAATGCAGGTTGAAGTGCTGACATCCGGCACTGACGTTCGAGACGACCACGAAACTTGACAGACTTACAATAAAATAGAATTAGCTTATCTGGATGGATTTCCAGTCTGCTGTACCTGGAAAGATTGACAGTTAAAAAAAGGGATCGGAAGATAGGAAGTATGGAGAGTCTTCAATTTACAATAGTTCATTTAGTGACCGTTTGACGTTACAATGGCCGTGGAAAAAGTGACTTGTGGCTGTTTTTCACACGACCATTGCAGCATCCCCATGGTCACGTGACTCGCATTTATGACGGTTGCAATCTCCCGGGGTCATGCTATCCCCTTTTGGGACCTTCTGACAAGCAAAGTCAATGGGGAAGCCAGATTCACTTAACAACCGTATTACTAATTTCACAACTGCAGCGATTCGCTCAACAAACGTGGCAAGCAAGGTCTTAAAACGGGGCACAGCTCACTTACCAATACTTAGCAACAAAAACGTCGGGCTCAGTCGTGGTCTTAAATCGAGAACTACTTGTCATTTTCTTCTCGTTCTAATTTCTATTTCCTACTTTTTCCTCCCACTTTTCAGAAAGAAGCTCCTAGGCATTGGGCAACGCCCCTACCTCTAATTACTTGCCACCTTGCAAATTTCCTGTAATCCCAAAAGGCACCCTGGGACGCTTTGGAAGGCAAGGCGGATGGTTGGCCATTAACCTTGTGCAGGATGGCGATGGAAGAGGGAGCCCTGTTGGATTTGGGCCCCGCAATCCAGGCCGGACGAAAGCCAGAGGTGACCTCGGATGAAGAAGTGGAGGAGCAGGAAGAGGAGACAGATGTGCCAGCTGAGGAGGAGGTGGTGGGGTGGGAGGACGCCTGGGAGGACACCACAGATGCCAGAGCGGGAGCGAAGGGGAAGGGATGTGCTGATTCCTTCCAAGCTGGAAGTACCAGAGCTTTTCTGATAAGCTCCCCAAGAGACTTGTATAAAGAAGAGTTGGACCTGGGGGTTCCCATCTCAGAGGAGACCCAGTGGAAAGACTTCCTTAAGACAGTGGAGGCTCCGGGACTCGGCTGCTCAAGCCTACAAGAACTGAGCTCCTCTCTCCACAATACTTCTGCGATACTTCCAGCCTCCGTCAAGGTAAAGGCCAAAGGCACCCACTTCACCGAAGAACGGGAGACCCAAACCCAGCCCGATTTCGGTGGGGAATCCCAAGAGCCCCACCGAAACCTGAAACCCTCCGAGCTGCCCAAAGAAGAGCTTCCAGAGGCGGACGTTGTCGTTTCAGAGATTCAACGCCAGCACTTCCGCCAGTTCCGCTACCAGGAGGCCGCAGGTCCCCGTGAGGTCTGCAGCCGTCTCTGGTTCCTCTGCTGCCGTTGGCTGAAGCCGGAGAGACAAACCAAGGAGCAGATCCTGGAGTTGCTGATCCTGGAGCAGTTCCTGGCCATCCTGCCCCCCAAACTCCAGAGCTGGGTGGTGGAGGGTTGCCCCCAAACCTGTGCCCAGGCAGTGGCTCTGGCCGAGGGCTTCCGGCAGAAGGAATGGGTACCTGAGACGTTGGATGAGCAGGTGAGAAGGGCGCGTGGTTTGGGATGAGGGATCGGAGGCTGTGGCCCTATCTTGAATTGCATAAACCAGTCATTATCGACCTCGGCAACTTTTAAAATAGTAAAGGACTTCAAGTCCCAGAATTCCCTAGCCAGTACATGTAGCCTTTGACTTAACAACCTTGCTCTGTTTGTTAAGTGAACCCATTGTTCACTATTGCTGTTTATTGCCAGAAGCTGGAAGTAAAGATCCAGAGCCTGGATAGCTCTGCAGACAAGGCACTCGTTTCTTGTCTTGCCTTTTGGTACTTTGGAAAATAGTTGAACCAGGGCTGGCTTTTTGTAGGCTCTGTGATAATGGGTGGTGGGAGTAGAGGAGAGGGCTTCCCACCATACAAGGGGCAGCTAGATGCCCTTTAAGGCCTCTCTGCTTCGAGATTGGCTAAAATGTATACAAATATGAAACCGGAGTGCTGGAAGTGCAAGCACAAAGATGGAACATTTTATCACATGTGGTGGCAATGCCCCAAAGCAAAAAAATAGTGGGAACAGATAAGGAGATGGCTGCAGGAGATAACAGGAGAACAAATTGAATTCAAAGCTGAACTATTTTTATTAGGAATGATTAACCGAAAGATCAAGAAGCAACTCCAATACATCATTTTACACATAGTAACAGCAGCGAGAATTGCCTATGCTCAATGTTGGAAACTAGAAAATATACCAGCCAATGAGATGATTATATACAAGATACTAGAATGTGCTGAATTAGATAAGGCTCACTTTAGAAATGAAAGGCAAGGAAGATGCAGAATTTTATGAGGTGTGGGATGAGTGGTATAATTGAGAAACAAAAATGTATAGGAACAAATGTAAATACCTGTAAGAGACACATGACACAGTACTGTTAAAAATGTTTATTGTTATGTAAATTGAAAATAAAAAAAATAAAATAAAAAAAAAGCCTCTCTGCTTCTTTGATCTTAACACTTTCTTTTTTGCTTCAGGTGTCAGGGAACGAGCCAGCTCTGAATTTTTCTGGGTCTGAGCAGAAGTCCTTGGATTGTCAACAGGGAGATGACAATGGAGTTTCCAACATCCATGGTAAGTTATTTGATGGGGAAGTGTCATCTTCTTCACTGGCGAAGCATGAAGGATGTCCTGACTCTGCCTGGATTTGAGATGGTTTGGATCAGGCTTCGCACCTTGCTTGTAAGAGAGTGATCAGGTTTTTAAACCAGGCTGCTCGCTGTCTTTGTGGTATCCTGGAGAAGGCTGTGCAGATTGGTGCTTTTTTATCCCACCTCTAAAAGGGAGAAGATCCTAGCAGAAGATCTTAGCACAAAGATCAACTGGTAATATCTGCCAGGAGCAGAAATAAACATACAAAAACTACATGGGAGTGAGAGGCATAATTTTGTCAAGTCAATTTCTCCCCACCTCTGCCTTTTGTGGTGCAGGATCAGTGGTGGGTTCCTCCCGGTTTGGCCCGATTCTCCCGAGCCGGTAGCGGTGACGATATGATGTCACTGAACTGGTTCTGCCCCCAACCCCCCGCGTTATTCTTACCTTTTATTTGGCCCCACCCCCAATCTATTGCTGCCTCTTGAGTCCCAGCTGATGGCTAGAGGGAAAAAAACTGTTTAAACTCTTGCAGCAGGGCTTCAAAGGGCCGCCCTACAGCTGATCAGTGTTAAAAGAAAACAAATGAGAAGATCAGTGCCTGCAAAAATACAATGAGTAGATCAGTGTCTGCAAAAATACATGAGTAGATCAGTGCCTGCAAAAATAAATGGGTAGACCAGTGCCTGCCAAAAATAAATGGGTAGATCGGTACAGCTCTGCAAGCAGTTAAAAGCCTGGTAGACCAGTACCTCTGCTAAATCCTAAATAATTGTCACATGACCATCAAGCCACGCCCACAAAATAAGCCACGCCCACAGAATTGGTAGTAAAAAATTTTAGAACCCACCCCTGTGTAGGATGCCTTCAAATGTTCACTTTGTATGTTGACTTGGGAAGTGTTTTGGGGTTCAAAACGGATTTGGAAATAATCGTGCAGATAAAACAGATTGCCCATTGCAGAAAACCGCAGATGGAATTGATTACTCTTTTTTTAAGTCTTGTGATTTGGCCAATCCTGAGTTATCTAGAAGAAAGCTAAGCAAGTCAAGCCTGGTTGACGGGGATGGGAGACCACCAGGAAATCCAAAAGATGTGAACGAAACGGAGACATTAAAACATCCCGGAACCAGGCAATGGCAAATTTCTTCTATACTGTACAGGTAATCCTCGATGTATGACCACAATGGAGCCCCAAATTTCTGTTGTTAAGTGAGTTTTGCCCCATTTTACGACCTTTTTATGCCACAGTTGTTAAGTGAATCACTGAGGTGGTTAAGTTAGTAATCCAGTGGTTAAGTGAATCTGCCTCTCCCATTGATTTTGTTTGTCAGAAGGTCGCAAAAACTGATCACATGATTCTGGGACATAGCCATGGTCATAAATGTGAATCAGTTGCCAAGCGTCTGAATTTTGATCACATGACCATGGGGAATGCCGCAAAGGTTATAACTCTGAAAAATGGTCATTAGTCACTTTATTCAGTGGCATCGTAACTTTGAATGGTCACTAAACGAACTGTTGTCAGTCAAGGACAACTGTACTTGTATTGCTCTCAGAAAAGTATATGGCCTTGGCTGGAGCCTCTTTTTCCCATCCACCCTCAAAAGCTAAACATGCTTGGGCCTGGTTAGTATTTGATGGGAGACCACAAGGAAATATTGTTTGTAAAGCTTCCTCATATGCTAAGTGGGAATGATGGGGGTTGTAGTCTCAAGGTTCTCTCTCCCCCCCACCCCCCCCCCGGGCCCTTCCTTCAGTTGTATCCAATTCTCCAAGTCTGGCTGGACAATCCCTGCAGTTTTCTTGGCAAGGTTTTTCAAAAGTGGTTTGCCATTGCCTCTTCCCTAGGGCTGAGAGAAAGTGACTGGCCCCAAGGTTACACATATGGCATTGTGCTTAAGGTGGGACTATAGAACTCAGGGTCTCCCTGTTTCTGCCTGATACCCAGAGGTGGGCTACTGGGGGTTCGCAGGGGTTCGGGAGAACCTCTAGCTAAGATTCTGTGCAATTCGGAGAACCCCCAAATCTCACTCCTGGCTGCCCCACCCCTCCCCTCCCAGGAGTCCTCATGCGGCCGGTTTTGGATGCAGGGCGTGCACGGAGGCTCTGGGGGGGGGCGAAAAACGGATCTACTGGAAGTTCAATCCTGTTTCTGGCCACCAGAGGGCCTCCAGAGCCTGGGGAGGCCGTTTTCGCCCTCCCAGAAGCTCAAGGAAAGCCTCCGGAGCCCGGGGAGGGCAAAAACGCCCCACCCACCATGATGCAGGAGGCTGACTAGGCCGCGCCCACCCAGCAACCAGGCAGAGAACCCCTTGCTAAAATTTTTGAAGCCCACCCCTGCTGATACCTTAACCATTACACCAAACTGGGTTCTCTGCTGGCTGGGGAATTCTGGGAGTTGAAGTCCGTCAGGCTTAAAAGTTGTCAAGGTTCGAGACCCCTGTAATATAGAAATGTAAGCTACATTTCTATAAAGGTGCTCGAATATGGATTCAAATCCCTATGTAGGCCTAAAGCTCATTGTTTTACCAGTTTATTTCTTGGAAAAAATACCTTTTTTTTGGTTCTTGCAAAGCTCCATCATATAATCGACGTAAAGCATTCCTGAGGTGAAAAAGCCACCATCTCGGACCCAAAGAAAGCCTATCACACAGGCCAGGGCTCTCCAAACTTGGCAAATTTAAAGACTTGTGGACTTCAATGCCCAGAATTCAAACTTGCAGGCTTCAACTCCCACAGCTGGATAGGGAATTCTGGGAGTTTAAGTCCCACGAGTCTTAAAGTTGCCAAGTTTGGAGACTCTTGATATAGGTCACAACCCTCAATGAATTTGACACCCTTGATATAGGTGAATAAGCCTAGAGTTCTTCAACATTGAAATATAGCCAAAGTGAGCATCTAATTTCCAGAAAGTGATTTTAAAGTTCTGGTGAATAGTTTGGAAGTGTGAAGCCGAATGGAAATGCCGGATTTCCTCCTTTCATCTTATTGCAGAAAAAACAATGGCGACCAACCTGCCTTCCATTGAGGACCTGTATACTGCACGAGTCAAAAAGAGGGCTGTGAAAATATTTACAGACCCCACGCATCCTGGACATAAACTGTTTCAACTCCTACCCTCAAAACGACATTATAGGGCACTGCACACCAGAACAACTTTTTAAAATTTATTTATTTATTTATTTTTATATGCCGCCCTTCTCCGGAGACTCAGGGCGGCTTACAATGCGTTAAGCAATAGCCTTCATACTTTTGTATATTTTATACGAAGTCAGCTTATTGCCCCCACAAACCGGGTCCTCATTTTACCCACCCTAGAAAGGATGGAAGGCTGAGTCGACCTTGAGCCTGGTGAGAATTGAACTCGCAGTAATTGCAGGCAGCTGGATGTTAAATTCTGCCTTAGTTAATGCTGCCTTAACTAGACACAAGGACAGTTTTTTCCTGAATGCCATCACTTTGCTAAACAAATAATTCCCTCAACACTGTCAAACTATTTACTAAGTCTGCACTACTATTAATCTGCTCGTCGTTCCCACCACCCATCTCCTTCCACTTATGACTGTATGACTGTAACTTTGTTGTTTGTATCCTTACGATTTATATTGATATTGTTTCCTGATTGCTTATTTGTAGCCTATGACTATCATTAAGTATTGTACCTTATGATTCTTGACGAATGTATCTTTTCTTTTTATGTACACTGAGAGCATATGCACCAAGACAAATTCCTTGTGTGTCCAATCACACTTGGCCAATAAAAAATTCTATTTTATTATTCGTTCTCCAGGTGAATCTTTGAGGAGCGCTGATAAAGCCACCGATCTGCCAGAAGTCTCAGGAGAAAGCACCAATGGGGTAGTGACGGGGAACTCACACCTGAAGAATTCCCAAAATGGTGATCTGCAAGAAGTTCCCAGCATTTGGCAAGGATTTGAAGGGGAACGTTCTCCAGAGAAGAACACTGGGAAGGCCGTTCTTTCTGAAGGCATTGAGCTCATCGGAGAAAGCACAGATCCGAAGAGAGTCCGTCGGGTGAACAGCGAGTCTGCCAGAGTAGCCGACGATAACGCAGATATCATCGAATTTCAGGTAACCCACATGGGGAACATGCCTTATAAGTGTCCAGATTGTGGGAAGAGTTTCAATTACAGCACCAGCCTGGTTAGACACCAGAGAATCCATACCGGAGAAAAACCATACAAATGTTTAGATTGCGGCAAATGTTTCTGCCAGAGCTCGGGCCTCACAATTCACCAGAGGATCCACGCAGGGGAGAAGGCCTACCAGTGTTTGGATTGCGGGAAGAGTTTCCGCGTGAAGTCGCACTTGATCAGGCATTCCATCATCCACAAAGGGGAGAAGCCGTACAAGTGTCCGGAATGCGGCGTCAGCTTCTGCGAACGATCGGAGCTCCGAATCCACCAGAGGATCCACACGGGAGAAAAACCGTACCACTGTGCCGACTGCGGGAAAAACTTTTGCCGGAAGGCGGATCTGACTCTCCATCAGAGAATCCACACCGGGGAAATGCCTTACACGTGCTTGGAATGTGGGAAAGGGTTTCGCTGGAGCTCCAATCTCATCACCCACCAGAAAACCCACACCGGAGTGAAGCCGTTCGAATGCGCCGAGTGCGGGAAGAGTTACTACTCCAACATGAGTCTCGTCCGACATCAGCGGGTCCATACCGGAGGCACCCCGTATATCTGTTCGGACTGTGGGAAAAGTTTCTGCGACAGCACCAGCCTCACCCGGCACCAGAAGATCCACACGGGGGAAAAACCGTACGTCTGTCCGGAGTGCGGGAAAAGCTTCAACCGTAACTCGAACCTCATTTCCCACCAGAGAACTCACACGGGGGCCAAGCCGTTCCTTTGTACCAATTGCGGGAAGAACTTCCGGTCGAAATCGGAACTTCATCGGCATTACACGGTTCATGCGGGAGAGAAAAACGAAAAGATTTTGGCAGAGGACACTCTGGAGGGTCCTGTTCATGAGAAAACCACCAGCGAACAGGGAATTAGGAATGAATAGAGGCAGGAGGGCAGGAGCGTGTGGCAAAGGAAAAGTAGACCATCCAGAACAAACTTGAGATTTTCAATAATTCTTGGAAATCATCCAGTTTTGGCCCTAAAGCATTTGGTGGTGCCATCCAGCCCTTTGTAAAACTGTTGATCGTCCCTACGGCTGATTTTCTTCCTTGTTTTTCTTCCTCTACAACAGGGGTCTCCAAACTTGGCAACTTTAAGACTTGTGGACGTCAGCTTCCAGAATTCCCCAGCCAGCTGTGGGCGTTGAAGCACAGAAGTTGAATTCTGGGTATTGAAGTCCACAAGCTGAATTGTGGGAATTGAAGTCCGCAAGTTGAATTGTGGGAATTGAAGTCCTCAAGCCAGCTTTGCTGACTGGAGAATTCTGGGAGTTGAAGTCCACAAGTGGAATTGTGGGAACTGAAGTCCTCAAGCCAGCTTTGCTGACTGGAGAATTCTGGGAGTTGAAGTCCACAAGTCTTAAAAGTTGGCAAGTTTGGAGATCCCTGCTCTACAATTTATTTTATGGACTATGTTTTTTTTAAAACAAAAAACAAAAACAAAACACGCACACTTGCCCCTCCAGTTGTTTGGGAAAACAATCTAATGTTTACATCAGGAATATTTGCTCCTTTGATACGGAATTATGAATGTTTATTTTTATACGGTATTTTCAGGGAAAAGGGGTACATTTTTGTCTAAGGCGCTTATGTCCTTGCATAGAGACCCCCTCTGCTGGCTGATCCTTGTTAGATTTCCTCTCTATCAAGGAGACCTTGTACAGATTTCAGATTTTTCTTAAAAAGGAAGTGGGGAATATAGCTCTTAAAACGTTGGACTAAAGATTCCTTTATTGTCTACATTGACTAGGGGCTCATGTGGGATACCAGGTAATCTTTCCAGGATCTGTAAATCTGGTTGATAATCCCTCTTGAAGGCCGAGCAGGAAACTGCATTTTCTAGCTTGGATCTCCCTGGAGTAGTATTTTTCAACCTTGATAGCTTTAAATTGTGTGGACTTCAACTCCCAGAATTCCCCAGCCAGCCTTGCTATCTGAGGAATTCTGGGAATTGAAGTCCACAGAACTTAAAATTGCCAAGGTTGAGAAATACTGCTCTAGGACCCTTTATGTGATTAAATCTTAAAAGAGATTTGCTCTTGTACGTCAACAGTATATAGGAATGATAGTCCCTGGCTTCTACTTTATCCACATAATGTGATTATTTTTTTCTGGAAGTACTTAATTAAGTTATTAGGAAGGGCCAAAGAAGGCATTTAAAATATGGTTTAAAACAAAGCATTTGTGTTTTTCTGTTCTGCTCGCCTAGTGGTTCCTAATCATCTTCTGTAGCTTTCTTCTGAATACTTTTGAGAAAAAAATATCCCTTTAGTGTATTATGCTTTGCATGATATTTCCTCAGTTGTCACTTGCTTTTTCCCTCCTTTTATAATTACGTGTTATTATCAATTAACTGAGTAAAACTCATTAAAGAGCTATTTCTGGCATTGCTGCTGTTATTTAAATCACGTTTTCCCATCTGAAGAAAAAAAAAAAACAGAAGATGAGAGCCCTTTCTATGATTTTTTGCCTCAAAGAATTTGAGGATGAATCGTGCTGTAACTCCAGATAGTCCTTGGCTTAACAGCCATTCGTTTAGCGATCGTTTGGAGTTACAACAGTATAGGTAGTCCTCGACTTACGACCACAGTTGATTCCAGAATTTCTGTTGCTGAGGGAGACAATTGTGAGTTTTGCCGCGTTTGATGGCCTGCCTTGCCCCAGTTGTTAAATGAATCATTGCAGTTGTTAAGTTAGCAACACGGTTATTAAGTGAAGCTGGCTTCCCTATCGACTTTGCTCGTCAGAAAGCCGCAGAAGGGGAATCACATAACTTGGGGAAACTGCAACTACCGTAAATATGAGCCAGTGGCTAAGCATCCGAATTTTGATCACATGACCATTGGGGACACTACAACGGTTGCAAGTGTGAAAAACGGTCATAAGTCTCTATTTTCAGTGCCACTTTGAATCAGTGGTGGGTTCCTCCTGGTTCCGCCCGGTTCCGCCGAGCCGGTAGCAGTGACGATATGACGTCACCAAACCGGTTCACCTCCCCCCCGCTCCCCACCTCGCGTTATTCTTACCTTTTATTTGGCCCCACCCCCAATCTATTGCTGCCTCCTGAGTCCCAGCTGATGGGCTATAAGGAAAAACTGTTTAAACTCTTGCCACGGGGCTTCAAAGGGCCGCCCTACAGCTGATCAGTGGTAAAAGGCAGTTTGGTGGTAGACCGGTGCCTCCAAAAACAAATGAGTAGACCGGTGCCTGCAAAAATAAATGGGTAGACCAGTGCCTGCAAAAATACATGAGTAGACCAATGCCTGCAAAAATAAATGGGTAGACCGGTACAGCTCTGCAAGCAGTTAAAAGCCTGCTAGACCAGTACCTCTGCTAAATCCTACAGAATTGTCACATGACCATCAAACCACGCCCACAAAATAAGCCACGCCCACAAAACCCGTAGTAAAAAAATTTAGAACCCAACCCTGCTTTGAATGGTCTCTAAATGGATGATTGTAAGTCGAAGACTACCGCAGTCTTCACACTTAGGACTATTGCAGCCATGCCCCAGGGTCACATGATTAAAATTCGGGTGCTTAACAACCGACTCATATTTATGACGGAAATTAATCAAGGTGAGAAGCAACCTGGAATTGAGAAGAAACTTCCTAAACAGTGAGGACAATTAACCAGTGGAACAGCTTTGCCTCCAGACATTTTGGATGCTTCATCACTGGAGGTTTTTAAAAAGAGACTGGACAATCACTTGTCTGAAATGGTATATTGGATCTCCTGCTTGAGCAGAGGGCTGGACTAGAAGACCTCCAAGGTCCCTTCCAGCTGTGATTCTGAGGCAGCTGTCACCGATGCTGCAAAGGTGGCTTGCTGCACTGCAGGATTCTGTCAAATATGTTTTGTTTGATGTCATGCACTTACTTGTTTTCACAATAGTTTTGTGATGAAAAATTGGATCACTGATGTTACTATTCAGTTACTATTCCAGCAATGTGGATGCAATTTCAGCGGGATTTGATTTGCATCCTGCCCTCCAGTAGACCCAATTTGTTGGCTGTGGCATCCTTAAAAGCATGAAGTCCCTGAATGCTTATAAGACATCCTCATTTATCAATACTCTCGTTTAGGGACCGTTTATTGTTACAACGGTGATGAAAAAGCCACTTTAAGACCAATCTTCACACTGACGACTTTTGGAAGTCCGTAAAGCCAAAGAACGCTGAAATCCGATCATAAATACATTTGCATTTTTGCGAATGCATCCTTCACAACCAAGATGCCAGTCCCAATTATAGTCGCTAAATGAGGACTACCTTTATTTTGAAATAGGTCTCAATTATTGCCTCCCAAGGCTTTCTCACGTCACAGCAGTGGTAACGCCCACCAAAATGATCTTGGATGATCTGAAAGAAATAAACCGGATTGGCCGTGTTTATGCTTGGAGGGGAGACCACTAGGCAATCCGAGCGCTGTGTTCCAGACTGGGAAGTTAACAAAAAAATTAATCATAAGGTAGCAGCAAAGCAGTTCTGCCAAGAAAAGCTAACAGGCTCTCTGTTTATGGAGATTCTCAGTCATCTAGGTCAGTGTTTCCCAAACTTGACCCTTTGAAGATGTATGGACTTCAACTCCCAGAATTCCTCAACCAGGCATACTGGTTGGGGAATTCTGGGAATTGAAGTCCATGCATCTTAAAATAGCCAAGTTTGGGAAACACTGATCTAGGTCATGGTTGTCCCAAAAGTGCTTTTTTTCAAGAGGCAACTGGACTTTCAGGTTTTTTTCTTTGAAGGACGTTTCGCTTTTCATCCAAGCAGCTTCTTCAGCTCTGACTGGATAGTGGGGAATGGAAGGATTTATACCGTATTTTTCGGACTATAAGACACACTTTTTTGTCTCCCCAAAGGAGGTGAAAACATCTGTGTGTCTTATAGACCTAATATAGCTGAAGCTCCGCCCACCCGCCGGCTGTTTTTTGGGCCTCACACGCCCCGTTTTCCAGCCTTTTTCCTGCCCATTTTTAAGGCTTTTTTCTGCCCATTTTTGAGGCCTGTTTTTGAGGCTTTTTTCAGGCCGTTTTTGAGGCTTTTTTCGGCCTGTTTTTGAGGCTTTTTAAGGCCCATTTTTGAGGCTTTTTTTGGCCCATTTTTTCCGAAAAATGTCCCAGCTTCTGCCAACCTAGCAGTTCGAAAGCACGTAAAAAATGCAAGTAGAAAAATAGGGACCACTTTGGTGGGAAGGTCACAGCGTTCCGTGCGCCTTTGGCCTTTAGTCATGACCATGGAGATGTCTTCGGATAGTGCTGGCTCTTCAACTTTGAAACGGAGATGAGCACGGCCCCCTAGAGTCAGGAACAACTAGCACATATATGTGAGGGGAACCTTTATTTTACCTTAATTCCCAGAAAAAAGTTTTTTGACGCAAACGCTTTCGTTATTACAGCCAATAAGAACATATTTGAACCATCTGTATCTTGCGTCTAGTTTCACACACCAGGCTAAAACTGATTTAAATTGATGTTAGTCGCTTTAGCTGTAAATCAGTATCATGGCTCAATATGTTGTGTGAATCCAGGCAATAACGGTTTATCAGAATAATTATTGTTTGAGAACTGCCCAAAATTTGATATAAAATGGGGAGTTCTCAAAAGACCAGTTGTAAGTTGAGGGCTACTTACAACCGGTCTCTTGTGAACTGTTCAGAGTTACAATGGACTTTACCAGAGCTACTTAGGATCCATTTTCGGAGTTATCATGGCCGCAACGCACATCCTGTTCTCATGCAATTGCATTTTGGGAGCTTGGCAAACTTTACAGCTGTTTCTAATGTCCCATAGTCAATCAACCATAATTTGCAATGTTTTCTGCTGGTTTCTGGTGTCTTATTTCTGGTTTTTGGCAAACAACAACCCACCATAGGAGAAAATAGATTACCCGATTTCCAGCTCTGTCTCCTTAACCCTAACCCAGGGTTCCGCAACCTTAAACACTCAGAGCCATTTGGACCCGTTTCCCACAGAAAAGAAAAAACCGGGAGCCACAAAACCCTTCCCGTGCCTGACTATTTCTTGAGCGGCCACAAAACTAGCATAGGTGGTTGACGTAAATGTTCTGTTTTCTTCTGAAACTTTTCTTTTCTTGGATTTATCCATGCTTGGCCTACCGGGGGTTGAAAAACTAAATAAATTGTGTGCTGGTGAATGTTGCACATTGGCAGTTGTGACACATATTTTGAGTTACAGGGAGCCCCAGCAGAGGGGTGAAAGAGCCACATGCGGCTCCAGAGCTGCAGGTTGCTGACCCCTGCCCTAACCAGAGGAAATGGCGGGGACTGGCTGCACATGCGTTTAAATATTTTCGGAGAGGGCTTATTTTAGCACGTGCGCTCAAAAGCCCGATTGGGCTTATTATCAGGGGATGTCTTATTTTCAGGGAAACACAGTTTAAAATTCTTTTGCTCTGTTTCGCAAATGTTGTATTATATTACCGTAATCAGCATTCAACGAGGGAGGACATTATATATGCTAAGTCTTTTTTTAAAGACACTTTTTAATGTGTCGTTTGTTGTATTTTTCTTCTTCTTATGTCCATCTTTTTTAAAAAAAATATGTTGGTGTTTTCTGTTTTAACTTTTGCTGAATAAACTAAAATTTGAGAAAATGTGTCATAGAAAAAAAAAAGTCGTAACTTCAGATCTAATTGTGTGATGCCTCTACGTATGACAATGACGACGTATAAGCAGAATTCCAGGCTCAATTCCCATAATACATTGAGGGCTACCGGTATAAATGTTTTTTTTAAAAATAAATGAATCAGCCTAGAATGAAAGCAGACAAGCTTACTGAGCAAATTTATGGCTGAATTTAGATTTCAGTCCCGATTCAGTTCTCTAAAAATATTAAAAACCATGGCAACAATCTTAGGAGGTCTGAACGGCAGTTTGAAAAGTTCTATTTTGGCTTCCATGAAATAAATTTGGATGAGATTTCCCCTCCCCTCCCCAAACGGTGATGTTTGTCTGGGCAGGTCACAGGCACTCAACACATTAAAAAAAGGTTTTGTATAGATATATATTTTATTATCATTTTTCATACTTACAAGAAATGTACGAAGAAGTTACACTTCTTTCATTTTGGCAAAGTGTGAGGAGATTTTATTCTTCCCTATTCGGGGGGGCGGGCGGGCAGGGCAACGGAGTCTCGTTTTAGTTGCATATCGTTCGTTCTTTTGCCGAAAGACAAGGCAACTTATGCAGCAGCTTTCGTCCTTTTCTTGAGCGTCCATTAAAAAAAACCTGTCTGTTTCGGAGTCTCCCACTTCTACAGCTGCCCCCCCCCCTTTTCTGTTCCACACGGCATTTGAGAAACACTTTATTCAGGTAACGGACGCAAAAACAGCCCTTCTTAAAGGCCTGTGTCTAATGTAAGTTC